AGCTTATAATACTTATTTTATATTTGCTCGTTTCTTTTCAGCAAAGTTATATGTGTGTGCGCACATATATATGTGGTGTGTGTGTGGTGTGTGTGTACATGAATGTTGAGGACCTAACTCTTCAATATTTCACTAACATAATACACCTTTGGCAAACACTGACATGGTATACTTTTATCATATCTCTTAGTACAGGTAGGTCAAAAGCTGTGGTCAACTCAGTCTGCATGCTTGCATATGATACATTATTAGTTACAATTAAACAATGAAGTATGAGTATGAGTATGCTTGTTCTAACAATTTTACTTTTTTCTACGGGTAAGTAATCATGTCTCCTAAACTACTCTGTTATCTATAAGCCAGAAATAAAACTTACACCAGAAACTGCCTCCTCATGGACCTTGATCTAAGAATTCCCCCTCCATAACTGACTTCTATTATTTATCACACACTCGTTAGTATCTTGTTAATGTCTCCCACTCAGAGTTATAATACCTTTAAATAAGAATCAGAGTCCACTTTACCAAAGACCCAGAAGCATGATTTGGGAACTGAGTCATGAGGAGAAGCTGTAAAGACCTTGAGGTCTGTACTAGACAAAGTCCAGATTGCCTTAAAGGGAGTGTTTATAGAAATGTGGACATTGGGGACTCTGCTGAAGGCCCAAGAACAAAGTAAGAACTGTAGAGAAACCTCTGTAATCTCAGCGAATATATCATTAATCATTAACAGATGGGGAAGAAATATGAATGAAAAGGGCCATCCTGGTGAGTCTCAGATAGACATGAGAAGCACAAGAAGAATGCTGAGAATAAACAACATTGGAAAAATGTCAACAAGCTTTGCTGAACTGTGCCCATTTCCTGGTGCCTGGTAGTAGGCAGAACTGAAATTAGACACAGGGCTAAGGAGATTTCTAAAGAGGCATTGAAGCAGCAGACTAAGTCATTCTTGCAATTTATAGTAAAATGTGAAAAGAAAGATAAGTCAAAGGAATTATTAAGAAAAACAAGAATATAGAATTTGTTGATTTTGCAAACTCTCAGCCTACTTGTACTACATGGAATAAGGACATTTATTCTGAGAAAAGACTAGATTGTATACCTGAGTGACCATTTGGTAGATACTTTGGTATGTGTATTAGTCAGGGTTCTCTAAAGAACAGACTTATAAAATGAATATGTACATATGTATATATTAAATATATATTAAATATTTATAAATATATATTATATATAATAAATAAATATATTTGTATATATATGGAATCCATTAGAATGGTTTACAGACTGTGGTCCAGCTAGCCCAACAATGGCTGTCTACCAGTGGAAGTTCCAATAATCCAGTAGTTGTTCAGCCTATAAATGTGGATGTCTCAGCTGGTTTTCAATATACACTGAAATTCTGAAGAGGTGGGTCTAATTCCAGTGAAGGGATGGACTTTTCAGAGAGAGTGAAAGCAAGCAGGCAAAGAGAGAGAACAAGCTTCAGTCTGTTATAGCCTTTACATAAGCTGCCAGCAGAAGGTATGGCCCAGATTAAAGGTGGATCTTCCACCTCAAAGACGTGGATTAAAAGTGGGTCTTCCCACTTCATATGATTTAATTTTTTTAAAAATCCCTCACAGATGTATCCAGACACTTGGGTTTTAGTTAGTTCCAGATGTAGTCAAGTTGACAACCAAGAATAGCCATCAACTAGGCATGTGACTCACAAGTTTAACCAAGAAAGCACCTCAGGAGAAGCCCAGAAGAGAGGTTGGATTATGCTCCATGGCCAACTGGAGTGGGATTAGACAGACAAAATATAGAGAATGAAAAAATATTGTCATATTTCTAGACTCCGCAGGACAGAATGAGCTATCCTGATGTGAACAGGCATTGTCCTTCAAAATTGTGAAAAACCAAATAAATGGAGGTTCAGAGAGCCTCAGAGCCACCAATACTGTGTGTAGCAGACCCGGGAGCACTATTTCCACCTCCTCCCTTTCAAACCATGGAGTATTTACAATTTGGTTTTGCCTCCATGTAATACATTAAGAACTAGGAGCAAGACCGCCCTGCCAATCAATCTGGGTAATACCTCCACCCAGCAAGCCCAGCACATAAAGAGACAAACCAGAAAGGAAAATCTGACCTTTAAGACCTACTTGGATTCTTCCCTAACTTGGCATCCGTCTGTAGCTGCCACTCCTTCCTTCTTTCAATATGTCCCTTCTGGAACTTGAGCATCCCCTCATATGCCTGTCACAACACTGTTTAGGGAGGACATAATGTGTCTGGTTTCATTGGTTTACAGGAGTAAGAAAATTTGTCTCCATAATGAATTGTACCTAAAGTTTCAAGCCTACTTAATGTGGATAAGATCTTTAGTTTGAGAATTGAGGCTAGAATGAGTTAAGACTTTGGGAGCTGTTAGAATGCAATTAATGCATTTTATGTGCAAAGAGAAATATGCGTTTGGGCAAGCTAGGTGCATGATATATAAACTTATTGTGACCCAAATCCATTTGCTTAAGCCTAAACCCCAATATGGCTGTGTCTTCATATACACATATGCCCTAGATAAGCATTGGCCTGTGTCCTTCCCTTGATGTTTCTAGATTACATCGTTTTCTATTTTATAAAGTATTGTTTTATTTAATGTGGTCTCAAAGTGTACAGAGTCCTCTACTAGTATCACCAGTTAGAGAGCTTGTAGAGTGATTGACTTGGAGACAAAATTAAAAGTGATAAGTGACTATAAAATCAGTAATGGTTGTGGCTCACCACCAGGCACACCCCATTTCAGTATAATGAATATCTTGAAGAGGGAGGGAAAATGAACAGAACTGCTAAATGATTTGCTTCAATAAAGGAAATGGGACAAACAAAATTTTAGGGGTGACTACATCAGATATGGAAAAACTTTATTGATTTTGGTTGGATATGAGACACAGAAGAGGGTCCATTGCAATCTGTGTAAGTACATTATGTGATCTTTACCTGATAGTGAAATGATCTAACATTTCCTTCTCAGAACACATCCTTTCATTACACTTGGAACAGGAAAGTCATTCGGGTGAAGTTAGGTGATAAGGATGGGGCCCTGATCCTGTAGGTTAGTGTCCATATATAAAACACCAGAGCCTTCGTTCTTTTTCTGAATGCACACACCATGAAGAAAGGCAATGCATAGACATGTTAGATGGCAGCCAGCCAGCCAGTGACCCAGCAACACCTGTGTCATTAAATCCAGTCTGCTCAGAAAGGGGAGCTTTGGCCAGGCACTAATCCTGCTGGGCCTTCTTCCAAACTCCAGAACAATGAGAAAATAAGCTACTGTCATTTCAGCTATCCTGTCTATAGGACTTTTTTTTTAGTTCTAATTTAATAATCTCACCATCATATGGGTTTACATTTATAAATAAATGTCAATCCCTTTATATCAAGGCTACTTTTACAACAGCAATTATGTTTTATCATTTCATAAAGTGATTGACAGAGCAACTTTTTTATGACAGTCTGTAAAGACTACTATAGCCCCTACCTTTTTCTTTGGTGCCTGTATCATTCTCATGCTTGTACCCCTTCAGGATATGGTGGAATACACATTCTAGCCACTTACTAAGAAAAGGTGAAAGCTAAAATTTTGGACATGCCCATACCTGGTTGTATCTTAATCAATTCTCATGCTAGCATTAACATCAAAGTTGGGTCTAAGATTCTAATTGGGAAGTCATTTCCCTTCATAATGCTAACAGCACTCCTCCTCAGTGTTTTCAGTATATGATTCCATGGGGCTAATCCTTTGCAGACAGTCAACTCCTATGCTCTTCCAAAGTTAGAGTGAGGACTCCCCACCAGGTTCCTCAAAGTAGACAAAGTGTATCAGACAGCATCACACAGCATCCAAAAGGAAAATGCCATCGCTTCAGCCTTTACCTTCTACCTCTAGTCTTCCAAAAGTTCATTTCCTCCAATGCCTGAATACTAAGTTTTCAGAATGAATCAGCTTGATGCTGGGCCTCCCAGACCGCCGACAGAAATGCATTGCTCTTTCATCCTATATTCCCCAAATCTAGTCTTCTCATCCATCCTCTTTGACCTTGTGCACAGAGGCCCTTTTGACACCATCACTGTGGTCATCTTCCAGGAATAAGTTGGTCAATCCATACACTATTCACTGTTTGGGGTCCATTTACCAAGTATGCGCCCATACCCAGTTATTACCTTCCTGTGACTCATCTCATTTCTAAAATGGGGCAATGATAGTATTAAACTATATACGGGTATTTTGAAGACTGGATAGGTAATACAAAGGTCTTAAAAACAAAATTACATAAACACAGCTGTTATGTCACAAGCATGAGTAAAACCTGCCCTACTAGAGTGTTAAAGAAAACCTGCAGGAAGTGATTTTCTTTTTCAAGAATGAAGTTCCCTTCTGTTTCTCAGGAGGAAGGGGATTTTTATGTTATTTATTTACTTATTGGATGAGCTGTGGAAACTTGGAGACATATGCATTTAAACAGAGGAACAACTAAAAAAATCCAGGTCATCTGTATATTATCTGCACCTGAAAAACAGCAGGTGCTTTACTTTTAATGTGGGTGGAAGCTTTGATATATTCAGTCATCAAGAATTAGCATGTGGAAGTTGATGTGCCCTATCCATGGCTACTTGCTTAGCACACATTTTATGCCACAACTAAATGCTATTGAGAAACAGCATGGTATCAAAGACAAGAGTACGTATGGTTTTGATGATAGAGAATCTTCATCCAAATACTGTTTTCATTATTTACTGGCTGGGTGAACCTCAGCAAGTTATTTATCTGTCCATAACTCCACAACAGTTCTACCTAAAATACTACTGTGTGTTATATGAGATAAATTGTAAAATACTTACAATTTAGTATATAAGCTACAGTAATGCTTTGATTTAGTGACTATTAATAGATTCCTAATAGCTTGTCAATTTTTCATTCAAAAATAATAATTTTAAATTTGTCTTCTCTAGAAATTTCAGATCATGCCACTAGAGAGCTTCAGAAGATGCCTATCTATGTGTTTTTAGAGGAAACCCAGTATCTCAGTGGAGAAATAGTTCGGCTCTCAGCTTGCTAATGTGTGGAAAGACTGACAGAGATAAATGTAAAGAGCATCTTTGTGAACACTGTGCTGGATGGGAATTTGGCAGGACTGACGGGACTTAGGAAATGCGTCTAGGTTTGTCTTTACCATATAAGTGAGTTTAGAAAGTTGGGAATGCAGGAAGAGCATTGCATGAATACGTAAGATTCCAAAAGATCACTGCACACAGAGATACTGAGAAATGTCCATGAACATAATTGTGACGAATGAGGCCGAGATTAAGGGTGAGCAGACAGAAACACATGGCACACTAACAAAAATTCAGAAAACAATCAATCACAAAAGCAGTGGTCCAAGCCTAATCCCAAGGGCACACTCTTGGATGAGCCGCTGAAAATGTCCCTCTAACAGAATTCAGTGACGTCCTGCTTGTCACAGTCAGCCTTCTGCTGACCAAGTTGACCCTAATTTGTTTCCCCTCCATTCCTATGCCAACCCTTTATGTCCTACCCCATCCCTGAAGCCTCATCCTCCTGGGCTGGGAATAAGCCTGAGCTCTGAGTCCTCTCTCTTCTTTCTGGTACCAGAGCTGTGACTTTTTAGTCCCTTGCTTTTGTATCATAAAGGCTACCTGGAAAACAGGACCCCAAGAAAGACACAGGGATCGCCCAGTGACGGAGAAATGGAAGAGATCTACATGAACAGCCTGGACATGAGTGGAGGTAATGAAGGGCGAGGGTCGAGGGAAAGAGAGCTTGGGGGAGCGGGAGATCCCAGCTGGATCAACAACAGAGAGGGAGAACAAGGAATAGGAGACCATGGTAAATGAAGACCACATGAGAATAGGAAGAAGCAAAGTGCTAGAGAGGCCCACAGAAATCCACAAAGATACCCCCACAACAGACTGCTGGCAATGGTCGAGAGACAGCCCGAACTGACCTACTCTGGTGATGGGATGGCCAAACACCCTAATTGTCATGCTAGAAACCCCATCCAATGACTGAGGGATCTGGATGCAGAGATCCATGGCTAGGCCCCGGGTGGAGTTCTGGGAGTCCAATTAGTGAGAAAGAGGAGGGTTTATATGAGCGAGAATTGTTGAGACCAAGGTTGGATAAAGCACAGGGACAAATAGCCAAACGAATGGAAACACATGAACTATGAACCAATGGCTGAGGGGTCACCAACTGGATCAGGCCCTCTGAATGGGTGAGACAGTTGATTGGCTTGATCTGTTTGGGAGGCATCCAGGCAGTGGGACCAGGTCCTGTGCTCATTGCATGAGTTGGCTGTTTGAAACCTGGGGCTTATGCAAGGATGCTTGGCTAGGCCTGGGAGGAAGGGACTGGACCTACCTGGACTGAGTCTACCAGGTTGATCTCAGTCTGCGGGGGAGGCTTTGCCCTGGAGGAGATGGGAATGGGGGGTGGGCTGGGGGGAAGGTGAGGGGGGCAGGAGCGGGGAGAACAAGGGAATCCGTGGCTGATGTGTGGAACTGAATTGTATTGCAAAATAAAAATAAAAAAAAGAATAGCTATTACTTGAAAATTGTATTATTGTATATAATTTTGTTGAAATAAAGGTGATAAAACTTAAAAAAAAAAAAAAAGAGTGCTAGGCCCTGCCTTGGCTCGTGGCTTTCTGCTTAGTATTATTTTCTGATTTTTATTTTTAAAATAATACATTGTCATTGCTGAAAATCTGAAAACTATAGAGAAACACAATGTGGAAATATCTAAATCACTCCCAGAGAGCCATAGTTTATGCTATCTCTGTAAAAATTTTGTATGAACTGATTGATATAAAAATGGATTCATGCTGTAGGTACTTGCTGTATAATAAACATTTTCTTGTTCTTACTCCCCGTGTATTACAGAGTTTATATTGATGACTGTGGATTCTAGCTTTTATTTACATCCTCGATGTGCTTAGTAGGTCTCATCAATAGACGTAAAACTGAAAATATTTACAGGCCACAAACATTGCCTTAGGTTTGCTCGGTATCCTGCGTCACAGTTCTTCAGAAAAAAAAAGTCAGTGTCCTCTGCTTTAAGGAAACCAAGCACATGATTAGAAAGAATTTTATAAAATTTGGAACAATTGCTAGTTTTGTTTTAAATACCTTTCTAATGGCGTAAATGTCTTATCCAAAGTGGTGAAATTAGTAGCAAGTGAGAAATCAGATTTCTGTCCCTCTGACCTATCTCTTCTTCCAGTTGTCTAGAAAAGCACAGGGACACAAGAGTAGATCCACACCAATATAAGAGCTCCCCTCACTATACAATGATGAAACTGAGGTTCCAAGGAAGCAAATTGCATCTCTACGGCTTTCTTGCCTCAAGCAGGGGCAGGGAAAGAGTCTCAAACAATAACTAACAGAGCCTTGGAGTCCTTTATCTCACAGACTTGAAAAATGAACTTCATGGTCAATGGGAAGGTGAGGGTTTTTTTTATTTTTTGGTTTTTGTTTGTTTGTTTCGAGGTAAAATACTTTATTATTTAAAAGGTTTTTTTTTTCATCTTACATACCAACCACAGTTCCCCCTCCGTCCCCCCTCCTCCTGCTCACCTCCCGCCTTCCCCCCACCACACACACCCACACCCATCCACTCCTTAGGGAGGGTAAGGCCTCCCATAGGGAGTCAACAAAGTCTGGCATATCAAGTTGATGCAGGACCGAGCCCCGAGCCCCTATATCAGGGAGGGTGAGTTTGAGAAAAAAAGTGTATATGAGAACTTAATAAAAGGAAGCAAGTTCCTGTACAGCAAGAGTTAGTTCTAGGAAAGGCTTGCCACCCAGGGTCTGACTATAGAGACTAACAGGGTGTTACTGGGTGGAGGAATTAGAGGGAGGGTAGTGAGCTGGTCAGTTTTCTCACTCACCAGGTGTTGAAGGTGTTGATGTACCTTTCCCATCCTAGCGTCTGGCATTTCAGGCACTTTCTGATGAAACATAGCTTTTGGTTAGCTCTTCTCATTAAAGCTGCTCTTTAAATGGAGAAGAAGAAAAAGAAAACAGAACACAGACCAACATTTCTAGACACTTCTGGTATTTCTGGCCTCCAGCAAGGAAAAAGCTGCTAATAGAACCAAGAGTATTCTCAGCTTCTGGCCAACAGGGTACTGATTTGCAAGGACAAGTGGCAGGATTATTGGGGTTTTTTTTAGGTCCCCACTCCTGTACTCATCAAAGGGAAAGAGACGCTCAAGAAGAAAGCAAGATGCATCCAAGAAAATGGGTGTCAGCTCCTCAAAGGGAGTTGCAATTCAGTGTGCCAAGACCACTGTGCCAGTCTATATGTGTAGATAGGCTGTGTGCTACTATCTAAAGTCTCGAGAACAGATACCTGTCCTGAGGACCATCTTCCTGTCGATATGATTGACAGGCCCATTTGGGTTAGCATTTAAGTGAGGACTATAATGTGTCTTTCCCCTTTACCAGCAAGTATCCATAGATAGTGATCTTAGGACCCTTGGGGCAACTTAAAATCTCCATCCAGATCAAAGATACAACTCAGATCCTGTTGTTTTGTCTAAAATTCATGTAAATGAAATAAAGAAAAATAAAAAGAAATAAATCTATGACAGCTTGACAGGAGGTAGTGGCCTTGCTTTCATGAGCATCAATGAATCCCTCTTCCTTCCTTCCTTCCTTCCTTCCTTCCTTCCTTCCTTCCTTTCATAAGGTATTTTAAGTCTTCAGGAAAGGCAATTATGCCTCTCCCTGTTTCATATTCTAAGAAGGGGCACTTTCTTATGCATTCCATTTCTTTAAAATTAATGTGTTAGCCAGAACACAAGAGGTAGTGTCTAAAATTGATCATGAGAGGTAATGATTTTCAAGTCTCCTAATTTCTAACTAGCTGTTTAACATTTAGACCTAAATGCCCTGTACAAAAATCTTATTTTTCTCTAGGTGGTGATGGCGCACACCTTTAATCCCAGCACTCGGGAGGCAGAGCCAGGTGGATTCTGTGAGTTCAAGGCCAGCCTGGTCTACAGAGCAAGATCCAGGACAGGAACCAAAACTACACAGAGAAACCCTGTCCCCAAGAAAGAAAAATCTTATTTTTCCACAATGCTGGTTTTGTCATGCCACATCTGTTAACTCACTAAAAGACCATCAGAATAAGCAGTTTGTGATGCTAAGTTTATTAAAGTCACTGCAGAGGCACATATGCCAGGAGTAAAAGTCAAAAGGACTGACTCAGAGGATGAAATGGGCAGAAACTATTGACAGGGTCTGTTGTTCTGATCTCTGGCCTTCTTATGTAGGGACCTGATCAGAAACAGGTGTACATGGGGCTATAAAAATGGCAAGGGAAGATGGTTTTACTTGCATACAGGAGGGATTCTAATTTCTCCCCACCCGTGTCCATGGCTATGTTACTGTAGCAATGAAGACCAATTAAGAAAAATCTCTTTCAGGTCAAGAGAATACAATTTCAGGCCTAGGTGGAGAACTGACAATCACCTGACTGAGAATTAACCCCTAGGAAGGCAAAATCAACTTAAGCCTTGCCAAAGAGTTAAGTGAAATAATTTTTTCTTTAATAAGATACTTCTGAGTTACTTAGAAAAACATAACTTTGGTTGTTCTTTTTATCTCTGCTCACAGCATCCTTTCCCTGACACTCTGAGCTTCCTTACTCTTACTCTAAGCCCCATCCCCTTCTCTGCTACATGGCAGCTTGTCCTTCACGCTCCTGATATCCATGTTGGTTTAAATGCAATGAGTATTTTTCCTCTTCCCTCTTCCATTCTCCTTCCCTGGGTAAATATTGAGATTACAGCTTGCCTCTTCTGGGCTCTTTATTTTAAACTCTAATAAAATGGTTTCAAGCTCCTGTTTGAGTCCATTCTTATGTTATTTTATTAATGAGACTAAGAACCCCAAAGGAAAACCTTGATTACCCCAGTTCCATGTAGCAACCCAAATGGGATCCACCCCCACCCCAAATCACAGTAACAGCAGCCTTACAATTCATAGTTAATATGAAACAAAACCCAGAAGATACGCAGACTTAGCTGTTAGGCAGTTTAACCAGACTTTTCCTGTAGGGAAGCCCCTCTGTTTGCCTCTGTGGTCTCTTTTCTCAGCAGTTGCCTTCACCTTCATCACAGAGGGTCTGTTACATATTTAAAAACTGTGCAGTCACAGAGACAATTTTGTGTTCAATTCAATGCCTGAGAAAACTGGAGCAGACATTCCATCTACAATCCCTTGTTCAAAAAGGAAAACAAATCTTAGGGGCTCTATGTGATGATGGGTATAGAACCCTTCTCATTCTGTCCTGGAAGAGGTCTTTGATCCCCAGAGTCCTTTGATAGATATAGAGAAGAAGCCTGTGTATCTTTTCTTTGGAGGTCAGCTTCAAGCTCTGGTTTCACCACCCCTGTTTAAATGCACTAAATTCACCTCTGACTAAAGAGCCTGTCACAGATACGTGAGAGCAGTCTTAAAAGTCAGGTGTTGTTAAATAAAAATTACAGGAGGACATTGTTTGGGACTAAGCTTCCATACTTGCCACACCAGCTTAAACTAAAAATCAAAATGGAGTCACTCATGCTGAAGTTCCACATCACCGAGCTGAAACTAAGCTGTTTATCTACCCTTCCCAGAAATCAGGATTAGAGAGATAACAGCCACAGTTCCCAAAGAAGCCAGTTTCAATCGACATGGTAATAAGTTTCCCTCTGCCTTAATCCTTACACACACACACACACACACACACACACACACACACACACACACACACATACACACACACACACACACACACACACACACACACACACACACACACACCCCACAGCTTGTTAACCAATCCGTTATTTTTCTATTCTCTCTTCCTGGCCCTGCCTCACACAAAAAGTAACTTTGAAATGGCTGATCTGTCTGTGTGTTGGGCTCTTCCTGTCAATAAACCCAACCTTCTCTGGTCAGTTCATTGAAGCATTTATTCTAGTTTATGAAATAAAGACATTCCAGATTCTAGGATCATAAATAAAACCAATTAAGATCTTTAGACTAAATTGTTTTTGTGATTTTGTTTTTTGATAATGCCATAAGCATCTGATAACATTTCAGTTTAGAGAAAATGGTATTGAAGCAAAGACTTTGAAGATGATAAAGCACCAGAAGATACCCGCCTAGGGCTGAGCTATCAGTGGCAGTTATTCAACTCTGAAGGTCAGGTGAGGATAGTCATAGCTAGGCTACACTTCATCATCCTTAGTTTAAGCCCCATCACTGAAGCTTCACTAATTAAATGAAAATTGATTAGGTGTCCACTAAATTGGCAAGCAATAAGCTAAGCACTGTGCTATGTCTTAAGGGACTTAGTATTTAGTAAAGGATACATAACAATTCATAAATAACTATTTCGTGAAGTGGCAATAGAAATGTCTCACAAAAAGATGACATTCCAACCAGGCCACAAAGAGTGACAGATTTTGCTGGTGAAGGAATGTCAGTAAAAGCAAATGCAAGTGATTTGAAAATGTGGCATTTTATGAGACCACTGATGAGCAAGGGGGCTGTCTGGCCATAACAAGAGCAAGATGAGGCATGAGGGACAGCTTCAGGCTGCCTATGGATTGTAGATTCTAAGGCATCTACTCCTTCAGGAAACCAGATACTGTATTGACATCAGGCATTCCAGACTCTATATTACTCCATATTGTATAAAAGCAACTGGCTTTTCAGTCTTACATATGCCCATTTTACAAGCAACTTTTAGCTCCACTTAGAAGAAAAATGATTCCAGTCAGTCCCTGGGTAGACTCAGAAATTGTACCATCCATCAGGTACCACCACCCAGCACAGACTGATACATGACTTATTCCCTAGTATACAAAGGGAGCTACCCTATATACTTATCAGAATAAATTGAGATGATAAGGCCAAATTATTTCAAGGAAACCAGGTATAAGATCTTATTCTTAATCCCAAAGATGTGAGGATAAAGACCACCAGCCCAAATCATCATGACCAAATTAATTAAAGCAAGCTTCTTTATTTATGTACATAGGCTGCCTCCCCCTAAGGTGAGGTTCAAGATGTCAATATTAGACATGAGGAAGACAAGATTTTTATAGCTCAGAGGTAGGGGGTTTCTAAATGGGGGATTTGGTAGACAAAGTAGGTTATTACAGGAGCAAAACATAAACATAACAAATTCATCATAACTACCTCCTGCAACAAAGACATGATTGCAAGGTGGCCATAACAAAGTAACAGCAACCTTTTGAAACAAAGACATGATTGCCAAGTGGTCATAAGGTAATCCTAACAATAGGGGTTCATAATAACAGGTGGCCATCATAGCCTTTTGAAACAAAGGCAGTGATGCTATTTCCTGGAATAGGCAGTACAGAACCATTTGTAGCTAAAGGTTACAGGTGGGGCCCAATCCTTGACAAACAGAGATTTAATCATAAACAAATGAACCAGTTTGTCTTCACTGTAAGATGGCTTTCAAGCCTAAAATGGAGGCAGACTGTTTCATCACTTATCAGACACTCCAGAGTCAGGAAAAGCTGTAACTTCTTTGCCTGGGCACTATACAGTGATGGACACCTAACACTGTGATGGTGTGGCCACCAAACAACATATGATCCAATACCTTGCATGTGCATGAAGGACCAGCAAGCAGAGAACTTCTTGGCTATCCCTGCCTTTACCTGCACCATATTACCAAGGTAGGCATGATTATATGGCAAATCCTTATCACTGTCACTGCAGAACTTTGTGTATTAATTGTTGTTCAATAAATTCTGAAATTGGGTATGTTTCTGGCATAGTATAATCGGGACTTATAGTAACCATTTTTAAATCAAGATTTGACTTTGTCTTGTTCATATAGTTTTGGCCTCTTAGGGGAGGATTGATTGAATCAGGAAACTGCCTATTGACCAGGAACCTGAGTGCTTCACAATCAGGAAATGAGCTAGAAGGGCCTGTGAGGGGTGAAAGACCTGGAATGGCACCTCACACTCCTAGCCCCAGCTGTTTGGCTGCCTATCACTGGCACCACATGAAGAGTACATTCAAATGTCAATTTCCAACACAGTGGGAGGCACGGAGATATTGGCCTTTTAGAAATGCCTCCCAGCAGCTTGGTAAGTGAGAAAATCAAACCTTTTCTTATGCAAGTTGCTTTTCTCCTCAGTGAACTGGTGAATTGTTTGTTTCTTACAACTTATTCACCAAATTCCTACTTAGGTCAATCTGACCTTGGCTAAGAATGTTCAAATGTGAATTTTTATCTTAATGACAAATAAACATCTTATTGTAGTCTGAGAGCTATTAGTAATTGTTAAGATTTAGCTTTGACAATGGCTTGGCCTTAACCTGAGCCCCAGACTCATCAAGACTTATATCTGCTACTCAACATGAGGTCCACTCAACCGCCTCAAGTACATGGCTGTGTAATCATCCTGGCAGGGATAGGGAGATTCTAAAGAGACACAAGTTTCCCTCCTTTTGGCAATCAGATTATTCCATTGTTTAATGGCACCCTAAGATTTGGAGTTTTCTCATGATGAGAAAAAGAAAAATTCTGACACCCTGACCCTGAGGAAGAACTTGTCTCCAAGAAAGATTTTCAACTTTTCAGGTCATGTTGAAAGAGTTGCTGGAGTTGAGAGCCATTGGTGAATGGCTACGCTGTTGAGTTGTGATTTTTTTTTCCTTATATTCCTAGGACTCCAAAGATGGACTTGTAAAAGTAGTCACTGTCTCTTTGTCCACTTTCCCAATGTTAAATTGGCTAAATCTCCTTTTTTCTGCTTCTCACAATTACTTTGACTTTTTAGTTGAGCTTATTGCAGAGAGGTATATTATATCCCCGACCCACTAGCTGCTGTTTGCTTTCCTAAATATCAGGTCTCTCTCCAGAGAGCTAATAGCAATGTCAGCTATGGCCTTGCAGTCCTCCTCTGTCCTCCCTTGCAGCTGCAGGCAAGCACAGCCTCATTCACAGCCCCAACTTAGACCGCAGGTAATCTTGAGTTGCGAGCCTGTCTATGCAAGAAAACACATCTCTCTCCTCTAACAGGATAAGAAATAGTTTATTCTGGAGAAAAATATGAGTGACCAGGGTTCAGAAACACAGATTCATGTCACCCAAATTGCATGATCCAATGTAGTAACAGTTTCATGGAGTTTTTATAGTAACTGAACAAAGAAAAATCATAAATCAAGATACTTTTAAAATACAGTAGCAGAAATATCAGGTAGGCAGGCATCCTAGCTAGTTTTATGTCAACTTGACACAGGCTAAAGTCATTTGAGAGAAGGGAACATCAGTTGAAAAAAAATGCCTACATGTGTTTAGGCTGTAGGCAAGTCTGTAGGGTATTTTCTTAATTAGTTATTGATGTGGGAGGACCCAGACGAAGAGAGAACACCCTTGAGCTGGTGGCCCTGGGTTCTATAAGAAAGTGGCTGATTAAGCAATGAGGACCAAGCCAGTAAGCAGCACCCCTCCACAGCCTCTGCCTCAGCTCTTGCCTCCAGGTTCC